ATAAATAATAATAATATGACTTGGCATAAAAAAAATTCCACGTTTAACATGTTTTTAGTTTGTTTTTGCCACGTCATCAAAAAAATAATAAAAAATGCCACATAAGCGAATTAACGATCGAAATTAACAGAAAGACTAACGGAGTGCATTTCGTATAGTTGAGGGATCAAAAAAGTGCAAAAAATTGTTAAAGGACCAAAAATGTGCAAACCACTATAGTTGAGGGACCAAATCTAGCATTTAACCTTAAAATTATTTGGAGTCCAAAGTCTTAGGGATTGTTTATTTTGGAGTTTCATAAATAGTTATTAGTTGTTAGTATTAATCAAATGAATTAAATATTTTTAATTATAAATGATTATTTGAATTCATTATTTAGATATAGTTGATAGTTAATAATTATTATTATTTATAATTTAAAATATTTAACCTATTTGATTAGAGTCAATAATTGTTAGCTATTTATAAAAAAGTTAAAACAAATACCTCTCAAATAACAATAAATATCAATTATTAATTATTAATTATATTTAAAAAATGAGTCCAAATACTCCCTTAATTGTCTCGAACCGTTTCTAGCTTCTTCTTCTTCAACTTTTTTTATTTTTTTTATTGGCATTCACGATACCTTGTGTTTATCTTTGCCCCATATGTTTCTATTCAAGGACGGAGCTACCATAGGAAAAGGGGAAGGGGGCGGGATGGGGCAGCTGCCCCCCTAAGCTTTTGAAAAATGTTTAATCTAGTACATTAATTTTTAATTAGTATAAAATTTGTTTTTGATGTTTGAATTATAAGGACTTTTTTTAAATTTAAAGAAAATATTTAGGAGTTGGGTAAAAGGACCATTTCTTTCTTTATAATCAATTTTTAAGACATAATTTTATTTGAGTATAAAAAAATTTTACATTAGTTGTAATTTTTTGTATAATTTATATTTTATCTAGTCAATAATTAGATTTGATATTCCAATTGAAAGTTCATTAATATCTATAATCAGTTCAAAAGAATTATATTTTATATGAAATTATTATTTATTTACTAGACTTGCAAAAAAAAGGTGAAAAATATTTCAAAACTAGGATATTGTAATAAAGTATTATAAAAAAATACTAACATATTCTTTAT